GGAAGAATGAAGGGGGGAAATCGGAGGGGTAGACGAACCATGAGAGACTATGGACTCTGAGAAACAAACTGAGGGTTCTAGAGGCAGGGGGGTGGGGGTGGGCGGATGGGTTAGCCTGGTGATGGGTATTAAGGGGGGCACGTATTGAATGGAGCACTGGGTGTTATAAGCAAACAATGAATCATGGAACACTACATCAAAAACTAATGATGTATGGTGATTAACATAATAAAATAAAATTAAAAAAAAATGCAGCCACTTGTATCCATGTAGTACAAGATTCTGATATTTGTTCCCTTTGTATGAAGATTGATTTCAGTGTGCCTACAAAATCCTAAAGGATTCAGAAAGAAAATATGTATACTGTTGATTTAAATGGCAAACTTTAAATTCATTCAATATCACTTAAATGTCAGTAGCTGTATTTTATTATGAATGCATGATCTTGAGCCTTAACTATTATAACCTATTTCTGCTCCTCAGAAATGTATTAACTTGATCAAGATGCCTTTGGGGGAAACCCTTAAGTAAATGTAATTTCAGGGTTCTGTTTCTTTCTGTTAGTTCCTTCCCATTCATCATGTGATGGGGACCAATGAGGAACTAGTGTTAACTTGGTAACATGGTGACAGCTGGTGCTTTATCTAAATTTCTTAGTTTTCTATTTCTTGGAAATGCTTTAATATAGAAACTGCTTCAGATATTTAAATTTAACCTTAACTTGCTTCTATAAATTCAAGACCATTAACTGATTTTAGTTTGAAAATTGTATCTTTTACTTGTAAATCATGTTTGCACTAACCTTCCAAAAACTGTGTAAAGGATTATTTTTAACATGGTCTTACAGTATATTCTACTTTTTAGAAACTATAGAAAATAATAAATACAACCTGTTAACCACACACACACACACAAAGTAACTTATCCAAAGCATGGAGAAAAGGCTGTTTTTAACAGAAAGTCATCAGTTCCATAACTGGTTGAAGTGTGAATATATTTTAAACTCTTAAATAGCTCTTTTCTTTTTGAATGGAATTTTAATATGAAATAGCTTGCTGATTTCCACTAGAGTCTGAAGTATCTAAGCTTAAAATGGTACCTCACATCTTGAGTAGAGATCTTATATGCGAAGTCAGTCCTCATTAAAGAAAACAGAATCTCTGGTTCCTTCCAAATGAAAATTTAGCAGAATAAAAGATTTCTATGAACAGTAGCAATAACCTTGTACGTAATTTGGTTTGTTTGTGACTGTTTGCCAGTTATTTCCTGTCATCCTTGGGGCTTCCCTGTCCTCGAGCAGGGATTTTCCTTAATTGAGAAGTGGGTCCAGAGGTGGCACCCTGCCCCGGAGTCATTCTTTTCTTGCCCTGATGCTCCATGTTTAGTTCTTTCCCTCTGTTGCCACCTTCTCCATCTCCATGGGAACTGAGAAGAGAGCTGCCCTTTTGGTCGGCAGTGGGAAAGCAGTGGTGAGGAAGTTATCAGGTGCAAACAGCTGAAGGAGGAAAAAAGTTTTACTTTAAAATCTTGACTCTACATCTGTGCTCTGTGTCATGCTCAGCTCTCGTTAGAGAGAACAAGGAGACCTGCTTTGGCCGTGTAGCCTTTAGAGGCTGCTGTCCTTGTGAATGCAGCGTGCAGAGCTGATTCTGGGGAAGGCTCTTGGCCACTGCTCAGGTCCTGTCACTCTTCTCTGCCCCCGATGTGTCATCTCACATTTCGAAAGCACATCTGTTTTAATTTTAACAACAGCAAATTGCAGTATTATTTTGTGCCAAGCACCATGTTAATTAGATTACATAAATTATCACCTTTATCATTACAGTATCTCTATCAGGTGGAGGTACAACCATCCTTCCCTTTTGTAGACAAGAAGCTCCAGGCGCAGAGAGGATAAGGAATTTATCCCAGCTCTCAGGGCCTGTAAGTGGAGTCTGGGGTTTGAAGCCAAGTGTTCAGACTGTTGTATACTCTTTCTCTAGTTACAGTCTTTGTATATATGATTTCCTATAGAAGATCATCTGCTTTGTGGAGTAATGGCCAGTTTGGGGCTGTTAAAATGTAACTTCTCAGAATATTCCTGTATGAATCTTTCTTTGCATCAGTGACTTGCCTTTTCATATCATAACAGAGTCTTAAAGAACAAAAGTTTAAAAAATTTTGCCTATGTCCGATTTATTGATCTTTCCTAAAATTTCTGCTTTTTCTGTCCTACTGTAAAAGGTTTTGCCAAACTCAATGATACTAAGATTTTCTCCTTTGTTTTCTTTTGGAAGTTTTATAGTTCTGGTTTGTGGCCCATTTTGAGTTAACTTTTGTATTCGGTGTAAGGTCAAGGTCGATCACCACTTACTGTGAAGGTTATTCTTTTCCCCATTGTTGGAAATAAATTGATTGCATACGTGTGGGTCTGTTTCTGAACCATTTATTCTGTTCCACTGATCTATCTGGATATCCCCTTGCTTATGCCACACTCTCTTGATTACTCTTGCTTTATTACAAGTTTTGAAATCTGGTGTAGTGAAATCTTATATATTTGTTCTTTTTCAAAGTCACTCAGCTGTTTTAGGTCCTTTGCATTTCCCATATAAATTCTAAAATCAGCTTGTCAGCTTCTGCATAAAAGCTTGCTGGGGTTTTTTATTTGGATTGCATTGAATCTATAGATAAATCTGGGAAGAATTGCTATCATAACAATATTGAATCTTTGGATCCAAAAACACAGTCTTTATTTAGGTCTTCCTTAATGTCTCTCAGCAGCATTTTGTGGTTTTTAACTGTACAGGTTTGCACATCTTTTGCCAAAGGTATCCACATTTGCCGAAATAAATTCTTAATTTCATGTTTTTTGATGCTATTGTAGATGGCATTTTTTAAATTTATGATTGTTGTATCTAAACATTCAGTATATTGATTTTTTGTTCTATAACCCTACTAGACTTATTATTTAGCAACATTAAAAAATAGTAATGTTTCTTAGATTTCTTACATGGACAGTTATGTCATTTGTGTTATACAGTTTTCCTTCTTTCTTTTAATCTGGATGCCTTTTGTTTCTTTGTCTTGCCCTAGTGCCCTGGCTTGAACCTCTAGGACAGCCCTGACTAGCACTGGTGAGAGTGGGTGTCCTTGCCTTGTTACCCATCTGTTGGTGAAAGCACTCATTCTTTTACCATTCTTTAGGTCTTAGGCCCATCATCCACTCCAGTTTCCCTCTTGTTATTCTCCTTCATAACATCTTGCTCTTTTTCTTCACAGTCATAGAAGTGTAATTATATTTGTAAAATTTGTTTAATGTACTTTTTTCTCACTTGTCTCTAAAGACCATATTTATTTCATTATCCTACATAGCACCTGGCACATAATAGGTATATAAGAAATGCTTCTTGAATGAACTGTGAAAGAATTGTTCATTCTTGCTTTCTTGTCGACCATCAGTGTGAAATGTGTAAGAGATGGGAAAATAGCACCACATGAATTACTAATAACCATGCAAATCATGAATCACTTTATTTTTGAATACTTGAACTAAAAGCTAAAAATCATCAGTAATTGCTTTCATGGCTTTGAATACAAAGTTTACTGATGTTGAAGATTTTATTTTTTTAATATTTTTTTTTAAGTAATCTCTACACTCAGTGTGGGGCTGGAACCTATGACCCCACAATGGGGAGTCGTGTGCTACCCAGTGAGCCAGCTAGTTGCCCCATAAGCTGATTTAAAATATGCCCTCATGATAATGAATTTGCGGGTTTGGGAACTAATTTTAAATTTTTTTCTTAATTTTACCCATTTTTCTACATTTTCATGGCAGCTGTGGTTAATCTTTCATTAGGATATATAGAAATCTATTAATTTCTAAGTTAGGCAAAGATAGTGGGTTCTAAAGACAATTTATATGGATGAATAAAAAGTATATATATTTTCAGGGAAGCTGAAAATGCAGAATTGTAGAGCAACCAGTAATACAAGTTTTTCAGGTGAAACTTTGGAAGAGATTAATCATGAGTTTATCTAATGAAAAAATGTGAACTGTCACATATGTTTATTATGTAGGAGTTTTATAATCATAGATCATTCAGATAAGGGAATGATTCTGTACCAGATATATAGATAGACAGCATTACCTGGGATCAGATGAGGTTGGATAAAATGAACATCATTTTCTTTCCTGCTGTCCTCCTATCCCTATGTTCCCTGTATTCTGTTTGCATTTGAAAAGATTTGATATGAGTGCCTTAGTTGTGTGTTCTGGCTATCAAGTAACCATGTTGGTGTAGTTTGAGTAACTTACCTCTAAAGTTAGAGGAGTTTCTCATTGTATAGTTTCACTGTTTCTGTCTTTATCTTCCCAAACAGATAAAAGTAAAAGCTTAGACTAATTAATTACTTAGTAAACATCCAGCTTTCTCCTTTATAAGTGCATTATTTCAATTTATGAAGCTGCTTATAAATTGAATTATTTAAATGCATTAAGGGAGCTGTGTAAAATAAGAATACTATGGGAATCTTTCGAAATGTGAATACTTACTACATTTTATATTGTGGAAATTTAGATATTGCTTCAGATGAGATATGCTTTTATTATTGATACTCAGGGACACTGATGTCTAAAATTTGCACCATTTAAAAATGTCATTTTTTAGAATCTTAGGGGAAAAGAGCTCTTTAATTAATTGAGGCTTTAAATGGTGAGAATTTTATGAGCAAATTTTTAATTAATGAATATTAGTGTGTAATTAGAAACGTTGTTAGAGTCTTAATGATTGACCTACCAGTGAATGTATGACTGCGTTTTAAATATAATTCATGTTAAGATTTAATTGCATTTTTGCATTTTGGTTGCTCTGCTTGAAATGAAGGTCACATGTAAAATGAATAAACATTTTTCCCACCATAGAAAATACTCTCTTAGCATTAATAGGGTTGGCACTGGTAAGTTCACAAGAACAACAAAAAAAGCTCACACAAAACAAACCAAATTTCTCTATGTTTCACAGATGTATCTTGTGATTTTTCCAGAGGGAACAAGGTATAATCCAGAACTAACGAAAGTCATTTCAGCTAGTCAAACATTTGCTGCTCAAGAAGGTAAGTAAAAATTTGACTGTATTTGAAAAAATAATTTTTAAAAATAAATACCTTTTCAGTTTTTGTTCCTGGAGAGGATATTTATGTTTTACAGTAGTGGAAATTTCTTCAGGGAATGTATGTATTATCTCTTAGGAAATGAAGTTTCTTCATTAATTCATATGCATGTTATTATATATATCTGAGAGGTTAAATTCAAATGCTTGCTAAAATACATATTCCAGTGCCATGGATTTAGTGAAAATCTGGCTAGGTACCAGATTGTGGAGCCTTTTTCTCCATTATGGGTTGTGTGTGACAGAAAGAGTCTCTGTTCTGTGGGCTGACAGACCTAGACTGGAATCCAAACTCTGATGTCTGTCAGCTGTGTGGGTGCAAGGTGCCTCACAGACTGAGCTTGTCTCCTCATCTCTTAAGACATTTGTACCTCATAGGTATACCTATGCCTGCCTCTGTGGAAGAATTACATTAGAAGTATGTGAAGTATCGGGGAATGTGACACACAGTTGGTTCACAGTACTTGGAAGTTATGAGTGTCCCCAACAACAGGAATGTTCTTAATGTCCGTATTTTAGAGAGTTGGATAACTAATACACTTATAAGCTATTCAGTTTCACCAATTTGGGATATAAACAGAAAACAGTGGCTATGCTGTGTTCTCAAAGTTGCCCTTGAAGACTGACTATGAATTAGTATACGATCTCCATACATTGATCTCCAGGCACTTACTGAGCAAAAATGCCTTGTTGTTGATCTGATTGCAGGGTCTATGCAGTACCGTCTAGGAAAACTTGTCAGAGCAATAGTAGTGTCTGTATCTGCTCTGACCAACATGGTAGCTCCTACCCACATGTGATAGTGCATCAAGGGAAATGCATTTTTAATTTTGTTAATTTTAATAAATTCATTGGGATCTGATACAAAATTCTTGATACTTCCCTTATTGGAATTCTTTCCCTAGACTTCTTTAGGGCTTATCTCCATTTCCCCCTCCCTCTCTGGTGATTCCTGGTCAGTCCCCTTTCTAGCCTCCTCCTTCTGCTTCATTCTCTCCTGTTTCATATGTTATTTCTATTGTCTGACTTTGCTCTTTCCTTCATTTCATTTTCATGTTTTTCCTTGTGGCCTTTATCCAGATCCATAGCTTTAGCCACCATTTATTTGATTGCTGATGGCTCACAAAAAGCTTTCTTCCACCCGTATCTGTTTGACTCTAGACCTATAGGTATAGCTGCCCAGGAGAGAGCTTCACTTGATTGGCCCAAGGGCCAGTAATGCTTAACATCACTCATCATCAGGGAAATACAAATGAAAACCACAATGAAATACCACCTCACACCTGTCAGAATGGCTAAAATCAATACCACAAGAAACAACAGGTGTTGGTGAGGATGTGGAGAAAGAGGAACATTCATGCTCTGTTGGTGGGAATGCAGACTGGTGCAGCCACTCTGGAATATGGAGGTTCCCCAAAAAGTTAAAAATAGAACTACCCCATGATCCAGCAGTTGCACTACTGGGTATTTGCCCAAAGAATACAAAAACACTAATTCAAAAGGATACATACACCCCAGTGTTTATAACAGCATTATCAACAATTGCCAAATTATGGAAGCAGCCCAAGTGTCCATTGATAGATGAATGGATAAAGATGTGGTCTATATATACAATGGAATATTACTCAGCCATAAAAAGAATGAAATTTTGCCATTTGCAAGATGTGAATGGAGCTAGAGAGTATAATGCCAAGTGAAATAAGTCAGAGAAAGATACCATATCATCTCACTCATATGTGGAATTTAAGAAACAAAACAAATGAGCAAAGGAAAGAGAGGCAAACCAAAAAACAGACTACTAACTATAGAGAACACACTGATGGTTACCAGAGGGGAGGTGGGTGGGGGATGAGTGAAATAGGTGATGGGGATTCAGAAGTGCATCATGATGAGCACCGGGTGATGTATGGAAGTGTTGAAACACTATATTGTACACCTGAAACTCATATTACACTGTATGTTAACTAACTGAAATTAAAATAAAAACTTTTTTTTAAAGATTTTATTTATTTATTAGAGAGAGGGAGGGAGTGCACAAGCAAGGGGAGCAGCAGGCAGAGGGAGAAGCAGACTCCCTGCTGAGCAGAGAGCCCGATGAGGGCTCCATCCCAGGACCCTGGGATCATGACCTGAGCCAAAGGCAGATGCTTAACCAACTGAACCACCCAGGCACCCTTAAAATAAAAACTTAAAATGAACTATCTCAAGGGAAAGCAAAAAATTAAAAATAAAAAAAATAAATAAAAGTATATTCTACAACAGAAACCATAAAATGGCTTTTTAAAAAACTGTCTTATCCATGTATCATATGACCTCACTGATATGAGGAATTCTTAATCGCAGGAAACAAACTGAGGGTTGCTGGAGTTGGGGGGTAGGGTGGGAGGGATGGGGTGACTGGGTGATAAGACACTGGGGAGGGTATGTGCTATGGTAAGTGCTGTGAATTGTGCAAGACCGTTGAATCTCAGATCTGTACCTCTGAAACAAATAATGCAATATATGTTAAAAAAAAAAAAGAAGAAGGTAGCAGGAGGGGAAGAATGAAGCAGGGGAAATCGGAGGGGTAGATGAACCATGAGAGATGATGGACTCTGAAAAACAAACTGAGGGTTCTAGAGGGGAGGGGGGTGGGAGGATGGGTTAGCCTGGTGATGGGTATTGAGGAGGGCACATTCTGCATGGAGCACTGGGTGTTATGCACAAACAATGAATCATGGAACACTACATCTAAAACTAATGATGTAATGTATGGGGATTAACATAAGAATTAAAAAAAAAGAAATTAAATTAAAAAAAGAAGAAAAAAAAAACTGTCTTATCTCCAAAAGTATTTAGAGAATGTTGCATTTTATATCCTTCCCTTGGGGAGGTACAGTTCACATTTATGTATGTTTCAGAAAAGTTCTGTCGTAAAGGTCTCTGATTTTGTTTGTTGAGCTGTTTTCTAATTTTATATATATTAGAAAACAGTGATCTAAAATTATTAAATAAAATTTGGGGGTTTGGGGGGTAAATCCTTAGGGTTCCAGAAAATTATGTCTCTCCAAAATTATTCCTCTCTAAAGATTCTAGATAGCTGAGCTCTGACTTTAACAAAATGTGTATTTTACTCTGACGCTTAAAATAGTCTATAGATGAATCAGTTTGGGGATTTTCTTGTGTGTGGAGGGGAATTCTCGATAAACTTGAGTGTAGACCTTAAACTGTATAAATTTTCAACTACTCTTGTGTGTTAGCTCTTACAGCCACTTTAAAATTACAGTTTGAGATTAGATAAGGTGAAAAGGAAATAAACGTGGGGAATTTTTTTTTTTTGCTACTTTTCATGTGTATTGTAGAATCTGAGACATTTTATTATCATTAAATAATCAATTATATCTTGAGACATGTGTGTTTTTTATGAGTTGAACAGAGAGCTGGCCTTGGGAGAAGTTTACTAGAGTGCCTCAGATCCTCAGAGTCTGCTGATTTTATGTTAAAATAGTACAATATTCTACCTTTAAATATTAACAAATCTTTATCAGATTTCTAATATATAAAATGTTTCACTAAGGTGGAAGAACTAACTCTAATGTTTTCTAGGAGTTTATAATTCAATAGGAGAAATGAAACAGGATTGTATTCATCATCTATCAGTGTGTAACAAATTATCTCAAACCCTAGTGGCTTAAAACAGTTCCTGTCTCACTGTTGATGTGGGCCAGGAGTACTGGTGTGGTTTAGCTGGGGGCTGCTTGCTTAGGGACTGTCACAGGATGCAATCAGGGTGTCTGCTGGGGCTGTAGTCATTTCAGAAGCTCCTTCACAGGGCTGTTGACAGGCCTCAGGTCCTCACTCGCTGTTGTCTGGAGAGTCTATTTCTTGCCACTTGGGCCTCTCCATAGAGCTCCTCAAGACACACAGCTTGCTCCCCTAGATCTGCAGAGCAGAGGGGGTGGGGAGACAACATGGAAGAGGTGCTGTAACATAGAGGACGGTTGGGCAAGACAGAAGTCACAGTCTTCTTGTAACCTAATTTTGGAAGTGACGTCTCATCATTTTTGGTTAATAGTAGAGAGGTCCTGAGCAAGACTCAGCAAGAGGGTCCAAATGATTAAGGTATAGATTCTGCTTCACAGTAGTGATCCAATTTCCAGAAACTTCAGTATGCTATTTTTCAACAAGTTAGCCTCTTTCAATTCTGTTATAATGTGTGATGGACTAATTCCTTAATTTTAAATATGTTAAGCAAGACAAAATTAGACCTGGACATTTTATTATATTTTGTCACTGGGCAAATCACAAGTTAGTTTTTGAGGTATAATAAATTTGCATTACAGAATGAGTATAGTCCCAGATTTTTGTCTTTATGTGAAGAGTAACGTAGAATTACTCTGTGTTTTAGTATTTATTCAAGGACTTCTGATTTCTTTTGTAAAATTTACCTTTGTGTGTGTGTTCCTATTTAAATATTGCCATACTTTTGGCTCAGTCAGTTGAGTGTCTGACTCTTGGTTTTGGCTCAGGTCACGATCTCATGGGTCATGGGATCAAGCCCCGTTATCGGGCTCTGTGCTCAGTGCAGAATCTGCTGGAGATTCTCTCCTTCTGCCCCTCTCTTCATTCGCTCGCTCTCTCAAATAAATAAATAAATCTTTAAAAAAATAAATATTGCCATACCTTTTTCAGTTGGGTAAAACAAGCATTTATATGCAAATAGGTGTATTTACTATGTGGTATTTATCCAGAGTTGTAATTTCAGTACAGGTTTTTAGGGCCTGTGTTAATCACCTTGGGCGGTCATACCAGGACACCGCTCTGGGGGCTTAAACAAGAGACATTGATTTTCTCACAGTTCCAAAGCCTGGATGTCCAAGATCAGGGTGCCAGCAGGGTTGGTTTCTGGTGAGACCGTTCTGACTTGCAGAGGGCCACCTTCTTGCTGTGTCCTCACATGGCCTT